GGTTAATTGAGGACGGACACAGAATTTAGCAAATAAAAATTAACTTGCATTGTGAAGATAAAGAGAAAAGCCATTTCTGTTAGTAGATTTAAAAAAGACGTACATATTGGTGCCGTGATATTCCAATTTATCTTTCTATCAAAGTGATAGACGACCCTTACATCATAAAAGTATCTATTTCATCAATGTGAACGCAATAGTGTATTAAAAACAACTGACTGTGAAATATTAGCTAAGCTATGACATATTTACCTATATTTACCTTTTATATAACGAAAAGAACGCGACCAAATTTACAAGCGTTCGTATGTGGTCACCCCCGGGGGGGGGAGGGGGGGGGGAACACGTTTTGTATAGGTACGTGCCGCCAGCGGTCTAAATTCCTGACCCTGTTTAAAACACTAAAAAGTAAAAATCCATACCCTGTTCAAGATAATCGGAAAAATAAGGAATAGCTATCTACGCTGCAACCATCAAAACTGCAAATATACTGACATCCATCAAAGACAATAAGAAGTTTTTGATAACACGTTAATTCTGGGACAGTGAAACGGTATTTCTACTATTTCTACGGTGTTATGAAAATATTACCCTGTCCAAGACACCAAAATTTGATTTGTCAAATATATACAGTTGGCATAAAACGCTTGACATTATATACCAGACTTCTATCATGATACAAGCTTGGTTTCTTATTGATTTACTGACATATTACATTATTATAATATATAATGAGGTCTAATCTCTTATTAGTAAAAAGTACTTTTTTGTTCAGTTAGAGTACCATGTAATGATTTTTTAAAAACTATTTTCTTCTGTCTTCTGCTGTTTTAAACCACTGCATGAAAATTGCCTTAAAACGCCTAAGGACGCCACCCAATTTCACCCAAAAAACTAAAGACTATTAATAGATATTTTAACTAGCCGATTAGTGGGACCTGCAAATCCCCCCTTGGATAGGTACGTGCCGCCAGTGGTCTAAATCCCTGACCCTGTTTAAGACACTAAAAAGTAAAAATCCATACCCTGTTCAAGACAAATTGGAAAAATAAGGAATAGCTATCTACGCCGCAACCATGAAAACTGCAATTATACTGACATCCATCAAAGACGATAAGAAGTTTTTGATAACACGTTAATCCTGGTACAGTGAAACGGTATTTCTACTATTTCTACGGTATCTCTTATGAAAATATTACCCCCCACCCCCCACTTCACCACATAATACAAACGTCTTTGCCCTCAGAAAGATAATAGATAAGAGAGATCTTTGGGAA